GGGAGAGGGGAGGGGAGAGGGGAGAGGAGGGCAGACGGGAGAAAGGGGGAAAGAAGATGGGCAACCCCGGGCACACACACCTCTGGTCCCTCCTGGGTCCATGACAGACACTAGCTGAGACCTTTTCCCCGTTGATCGCAGACTGATCCTCAGAATGCTCCTCAGCCCAAACCCAAAAGCCGTCATTCCCACTAACGAAGGCTGAGCAGTGGACGAGGAAGGCAAGCAGTCTAGGTTCACACAGGAAGGAAAACCATTATTTGTGGCCCCCACCAGGGGCCTGGAACCAGCTAGTTGATTCTCTCTTAATTTATTTAATTTTCAAATTAAGTAAGTAATTAATGTGCACCTTTCCTGAGAGCTGATTGAGCTGTGCTGGCTGTTTTTCAGACTCTCTCAGTTCAGTACTCACAATGGATACTGTGGGGTTGGCATCAGCATGCCCATGTCACAGATGAGAAAACTGAGGCCCTGAGAGGTACAGAGACCTGCCCAGAATTTTCCAGTTAGGAAATTTAGCACCAGGGTTCAAACACGGCGGTCACTTAGAACAGTGCCACCCCCAACTCCCCACCGGTCACCCCCTCCCCACCCTGCGCAGGCCTCCCTCACCACACTTGGGCCTCCTGGCCCTGCCAGGCTCTGTATTCCAACAGAGGCTGGTGGAGACAGGTGTGGGCAGAGCACAGCTGGAGGCTGAGGGCCCGCCTGCCAAGCCCCCGGCATCACTGGGCAGGGAGCGTGGAGGGCACGTGCACTGGCGCTGGGAGCCGGTGCCACTGGGGGCGGGCCCCGCCTGGCCCAGGGCTGCCAGCCCTGCCTGGCCAAGGTTGTCAGTCCCTCCTTTCCCCTGATGCACCTACAAGCCCAGGGTCCGGAGTTGCTGAGGAGAATGCGCAACTGAGGGCACGGCGCCAGGAGACGCCGCCGCCCTCCCTGGCCACACAGCCAGAGAGCTGGTGCGTCCGTCTGTCCCTGTGTGCTGTGGGTCTCAGAGCTGCTGTGACTAGGGAGGCTCTCCTGGCTCCACGGGGGCTGCAGAGCCAGACAGCCTGAGCTCGGAACCCGGCTTGGCCACCTACCTGCTGTGGGGCCCTGGGCCAGGCCCTTTACCTCTCAGGGCCTCTTTCCAGGTCGGGAGGGAAGGGTAACCATATCCACCTTGCAGGGCTGTGAGTACGGTGGGCAGCACCACCTGCGGGACATTTAGCCCGGCGGGTGCCCGGGAAGGTGAGCCGCCGCCTCCTCCTCCTCCTCCTGCACATCATCGCCACTCACCTCTGAGCCTTTCAGGATCCACGTGGACCTGAGTAGACGCCCGGGGAAGTCTGTGCAGAAACACAGTGAAAACCAGCCCCTCTGAGGTGGTGCCGGGGGCTGGGGCCTGAGGACCAAAAGGGATGAGAAGAGCTGAGTGTGGACCACGTTAGCCACCACCTTGCTGTGGGATCTTGGGCTAGTCCAGTGCCCTCTCTGGACCTCCATCTGCCCCTTGTTCATGTGCATGAAGACCCTCCTGGCTCTGCAGCTCTGGGACTACGCTCTTTACGGGCACCTGCGCCTGGGCCCAGCCCAGGGCCAGATGCTTGGTGAGGCCTCGGTATCAGATTTGGAGGGGACTTGGGACCCCGGGCCTCCCAGACCTTTAAAGGGATGTTTGTTTTCTGAGAAAGGAAGATGAGGCCTTGCTTGTTGTTTGGTTTCCCTGTGGATGCCCCCCTACCCCCCGCAGAGTGAGTTCCATGCTCATTCTCAGTGCTCAGCAAAGCTCCAGCCTTTTGGTACCAAGCCAACTCCTCCTCTTCCTCCCACACTCAGGTTGGCTCCACCTCCTCCAGGAAGCCTTCCCTGACTCAGGCTGAGTTAGCTGCCTTCCTGGGCCACCTCAGGGACACTCTCATGAGATGGTTTGGGGTCCGTCTCCCTACCAGACAGCTCTTGGAGGGCAGGGGCCATTTCTGACCTGTGCTGTGCCCCGGCACTGTGGAGTGCCGGCCGTGTAGACGCGGGAAGTCCTTGATGAGTGAATGAAGGAGGGAAGGAGGCAAGGAGTGGAGGCCACCTAAGGCTGCAGCCTCATAAGGAAAGGATCTTCGACAATGCCTGCCTGAAGGGATGGGATGATGCTAAGAAAAGGGCTGAGAATGGGGAGCCACGCAGATCAGGATCTCAGCCCAGCTCTGCTCCATCCTGACTGGGCAGACTGTCCCCCTGAGAGTCCAGCTTCCTCACCTGTCCCATGCGGCCAGTCCTTGCTGCCTCTCAGGCAGGCCCACGTGGGAGGCTGGCTCCCCGTGGAAGTGGAAACCGTGTGCGTGTGGTTCTGACGGATCCATGCCCGGTGGGTTTCTGTGTGTCCCCCCTCCCAGCCGTGGGCTCCCTGGGACCCACCCTGCCTCACGTATGGGCACGGGCTGGGCTCTGTTTTGTCCCCTGTGAAGTGGGGATGCCCAGCACCATCTCAAAGATTAAAAGTTATCAGTGCAGAGCGTGGCCCAGCCCTAGAGAAGAGACTCACTGTGCGCAAGCCCTTCCGTTCGCTGTTGCCTCCGGTCCGGACCCAGTCCAGGGGCTCAGTGCAGGGAGTGTCCCTGCCTCTGCTGTCCTGTCCCCGGCTCTGAACTCCCCCAGTAACAGGGTCTAGAGAAAACGACAAAACCATATTCTGTCTTGATCATGTTTGTGTTTCTGGTGCCTTCTGCTTATCACAGCCGTTTGTCAGATGTGACGTGGCTTTTGCTTTTTAAATGTGCTGACCTAAGCAGTAGTGCCTGGGGCCAGGTGGTCCCGGGTCAAACCCCAGCCCTGCCCTCCGTTTCCCTGTGCTTCCAGGCCATTCTAGCCTCAGTTTCCCCTCCTGGACAGGGTAAGGACAGCACTGGGACCCCCGTCTGGCCTGAGGGCTGTTATGAGGGTTGATGGTTACATAGTGCCCAGAGCAGGTCTGCTATGAAGACAGCTTAAAATGTGAGTTGACACAGAGCACGCTTGGGGCTGGACCTGGTGACGGCAGATATCACGCCCGCCTACCCCGCTCTGGCAGGCCTGCTGCTACCTGCCTGCCTGCCTCCCTAGTGAGCACCCCCCGACCCGGGCACCGCTTTTAGTCTCCAGGCTGGTAAACATGAGATTGGGCTTCCCAGGCTGTGTGCAGCTCTCAGGCCCTGCACCCCTCTTCCCACCAGCACCACCCACCACCCTGACTCCAAAACCCCCGCTCCCTCTGTCCGTGATCCATGCCTCAGCGTCCTCATCTGTGAAATGGGCTGGGGTGCCGAGCCCTCACCCAGGAAACGGGCATCACGCTGCTCTTACCTCATCAGCTGTGGAGCTGTGGCTGTCACATGTTGTCACATGTTCGTCGGCTGGCTGAACTCCTGACTGCAGGGCCCAGAAAATTCCACTGTGCCCCGCACCCTCCTCCACTCACTGTCCCCTCCCTCAGTCGGAACGCCTCCCACTCTTTCCTGTTCACCCATCTTCCTCACCCCTCTGACATCCCACAATATGAAACCAAGGGCATTACCTGCTACCTGGCGGGTCAGGTGGGGCAAGGAAGGGTGGCAGAAGCTGTCAGACCTGGGTTGCCCACTGTGTGGCCCTGGGAAGGTCATCTGACTCGGTGTGCCTCAGTTTCTGCGTCTACAGGATGGGAACAGTGACTGTTGCTTCCTCAGGTGGTTTTCCTGGTGACACCATGGGCCTGGCGTACCGTCAGCCTCCCTTGGCTGTGTTCCTGGCCTCATCAGCTGGTTGAGACTGAAATGGGAGGCAGTCCTGCCTTCTGCACGGTGGTTTCTAGCGCTATATTTGGCTTCAGCATGAATGGAAAAATTCAGCTCATCCCTTACTCTCTGCACATAGCTACCTTGGCAAGGTGTCCTGGCGCCGCTCACCTGCCCATTTTCACAGCCCACGTACCACGCCCTGGCTCGTTCTACCTCTGCAGAGCGTGGCTTCCAGACCCCACCTGCTCACCCCTCCTGGCTGCTGCTCTCCCGCTGCCCCCGCTGGCGCCCTGGCCAGGCCCCGTGACCTGTGATTCCCCAGATACGCCTCCTGCTTTCCCAGCTAGGCCTCCAGCCCCGAAGCCTCTTGGGCTAGCCCTGGCCCGTTCACCTGCTGAAACCTTACTCATACTTCAAGGCCCCTGGCTTCCTGGACAGAGCTGGGGGCCGGGGTCAGCCAGGCCTGTGCTGGAATCCCAGCTTCCACCACTTACGGGCTGCCTGGTCTTGGCTAAGTCGCCTCTCCTCTCACAGCCTCGGTTTCCCGATCTGGAAAACAGGACCACATTGGAGATCAAGGATAGCGTGGTTCATGGAATGGTTCCCACGCTCCAGGCACCCAGCCAAGCATTTCACCAGATGAGTTCATTGTCTCCTCCCAACCACACTGTGTCGTGGGCAACGATCATGTGCCAAGCCCTGTTCCAAACACGTTATATGTACTCATTCATTTAATCCTCAAAACAATGCCATGGGGAGGGACTGGCATCACCTCCATTCACACTGGGGGAAACTAAGACATGGCACAGTGGGGTGACCAGCCCAGGTTGCACCCTAGCAAATGACAGAGCTGGGCGGTCAGGCTCTAGGACACGCACACGGAGCCACTCGGTCACGTGATCTCTCATAGACCCATTTCAGACAAGGACACAGAGACCCAGAGAGGAAGAGGGACTTGTCCAAGTCCACACAGCGAGGACATAGCAGAACTGAGTCCAAGACTGGATCATTCCAGACCCCACCTGCACAAGGCCAGGCACCCAGTAGAACCTCTGTACAGGGATTGAGTGGGATTCCCACTGACCAAAGGTAGATCCCTGTCCCGGGGAATCTGCAGGCTCCTGTTTGGGAGCCCTGAGCCTTTCTGTTTGGGGTGGAAGTGAGTTAGGAATAAGGGTGACCCTCCTACCCACCTGGGAGTTCCTTGATGACAGGGACTTTGCCTCATCCGTCCACCCACCCACCCACCCATCCATCCACTTATCCACCCACCCATCCATCCATCCTTCCATCCACCTACCCACCCATCCTTCCACTCATCCAACCATCCATCCATGCATCCATCCACCCATCCATCCATCCTTCCATCCACCTACCCACCCATCCTTCCACTCATCCGTCCATCCACCACCCACCCATCCCATCCATCCATCCATCCATCCACCCACCCATCCTTCCACTCACCCATCCATCCACCTATCCACCCACCCACCCATCCATCCATCCATTCATCCATCCATCCATCCACCCACCCACCCACACAACCACTCACCCACCCACACATCCACTCACCTATCCACACATCCACGCATCATGCATCCACTAATCCATTCATCATCCACCCTTCCTTTCCTCTTTCCATCCATTCACACATCCCCAATTACTCGCCACTCCACCCATCTGTCCATTGTCTATTCATCACTCTTCTTTCTTTTCTACCTTTCTTCCATCATGCATTCATCCATTCACCCTTCCACCCATCCATCCACCTCTTCTGTGCTAGGCCCTGTGCTGGCCTGTGCTGAGGACTTGAGTGAATCGTCTCTAGTCCATAATATCCAGGACTCAGTCCCCAGTAAGGGAGACTGACTTATAATTCAGTGGACTGTGATGTGACAAATGCTATGTAACTGGGGCAGTATGAAGGGCTCTGATAGACCAAACAAATTGGAGAACTTTGCCTAGGGATCGAGGAAGACTTCCTGGAGTAGGTATCCTTTGAAGGGCATCTGTATTAGTCAGGGGTCTCCAGAGAAACAGAACCAATAGAGAGCAAATCTAGAGAGAAAGAGATTTATTTTAAGGAATTGGCTCATGTGATTATGAAAACCGGCAAGTCCGAAATCTACAGGATGGGCCAGCAGGATGGAGTCCCAGGAAGGGATAATGTTGCAGTTCAAATCTGGAAACCACCTGCTGCAGAATTCCCTATTGCTCAGAGGAGGTCAATCTTTTTGTTCTAGTCAGGCTGTCAACTGATTGGACAAGGCTCACCCTCATTATGGAGAACCATCCACTCTGCTCAAAGTCTACCAATTTAAATGTGAATCTTGTCCAAATGCACTCTCACAGAAACATTTAGAATAATGTTTGAATATACTTGGGCACAGTGGCCCAGCCAAGCTGACATAAAACTAACCATCACAGCATCTTACATGACGATGTTCAGAGCATTCTAGGCAATGGAAGCCATCCTGGCATTGGTCCAGAGAGGGGACGTGGCTTTGAGACAGTGGACATTCCACTAAGGAGAGAGACAGTGGGCTGGAAGGGGGCAGCCAGAGCAGTGAGGAGGTTGTCCTGCCTGACATGCAGAAGGGAGCATTTGCTGAATTCTGAGTCCTCAGGCAGGTTTGGGGGAAATGGGGTGTCTCATGGCTGACACTGCCTCTCCATTCCCCTTCCAGAACCCCGGGGCTCTGCCAGGCCCCAGCCAGATGCCACCTCCAGCTGCCCCAGGATAGGAGCCCTGTGCCTGCTGTCAGGGAGGGGCAGGCCTGGCTGGGTTCCCCTGGGCCTCCACCCCCACTCTGACTTATCTCATCTCCACCTCCATGCCTCTACCTGTGTGCCTCCTCTGTGCGCCTGCTCTCTCTCTCTCTCTCTCCTCCTCCATCTCTGAGATGAACGAGGCACACATCCATGGCTCGAGCATCCCAAATACTGAGAATAGCCACCTGGAAACATCTCAGAGAATGCCTTGTCCAGCAGCTGGGACAACTGAGGGCTCTGAGCCCTGCCCGAGATCACTCAGCAGGTGCGGGGGTGTAAGGAATGCCTCCCTCGCCCGCTGCCTCAGGCGTGGGCCATCCGCAGGGCTGCCGGCTTCTGGGACCCTCTCCTTCCCTCCAGCTCCCACAGCCGCTAAACCTCGAAACAGCAGTTAAGCCCACAGTTTGCAGAAGGGGCTGGCTGCCAGGGGCCAACGACTCTGCTTGGGGAAGACAGGATCCTCGAACACTTCAAGGAAAGAGAACACGGGGCCTCCAGGGAGAGGTGGCCAGGGCGGTGCCGCAGGTGGCCTCTGCCTCTCCGCCTCCTTGACCCCGCCCGCCCTTGGAGGCCGTGGCTGGGGCCTGGTTTGGGACATCCACGGGCCCAGCCCCTTTCTGTCCTGCATCCTCAGAGACCCCACACACCCCACTCTTCATCCTCAAACCCACCTCCTGAGGCCAGAAACACGGCCCAGGGCAAGTCAAGCCCCATCTTTGTGAAAATGGAGCTAGTCACCCTCCTGGGCAGGGGCCAGTTTCTGGCATCAGGCTCCCTGTTCCTCACTTTTCTTATCTATAAACTGGGGAGAGTGGTTGCTGCTTCCTAGAGCTGCTGTGAAATACGCGAGAGTCCATGTTAGAGATCCTGGGACGGGCCGTGGCCCACCACCTCTCCCTTGTCAGCGCCGTGATGGTTCCTGCTCCCTCCCAGCAGCTGGCGGGCGAGCCGGCCCTGGGCCTCGCTTCTCTGAGGAGATGCTGACTCCTGTGTGCCCGCTCTGGACAAAGAGCTTAAGAAATTCCCACCAGCTGATGCTGTTACCTGGCTTCCAGGGCCTTCCAGGGCGCAGGAGGCCTGGACGCCCACCCAGCTCTGCCGAGCGATACAGGCAAGTCCCTGACTCTCTATGTGCCTCAGTTTCCCCATCTGGAACACGATTCATCCCAAAGCTCCTTCTCGTTCTGACACGATTCAGATCTGGGCAATTTTGGCAGAAAGCTCCATCCAACTTTTTACATGTGAAATGTGGGGTGGGCCACCTCCCTGGCAGCGGGGCAGAGAGGAGAGGAGAGGAAATGAGCTCTTTGGGTGAGATGGTGGGCCTGATGCCGGAATCATCCAGAAGTGGCCTTCCTGCAGGCGCTGAGGGATGCCCGCTGGCAGGACTCCCCCTCAGTGGCCCTCTCCTGCAGGCATCCCCCAGGCTCAGCTCAAGGAAGTGCTCCCCGCTGATGGCTGCCATCCCCTCTCCCCGTCCCTCTCTCCCATCTCTCTCTGGCTTCCGCTCTTTGCCAGACACTCACCAGCTTTACCTGGCTCAGCACTCAACCCCTGGCCCTGGCTTCCCTTCTCTGGCATCGGCATTTGCCCTGGAGTCATGGGTGTGCACCCCTTGCAGAGGGCTGGGACAGTTCCCGTCTGGCCCCAGACCTCGATGCAATCCCCTCTTGCAGGGCCTGGCCCCCTCTCTCACCTGGCCGAATCTCACACATCCCTGCTTAGACAGGGCACACGTGTCCAGGGTCATACAGCCCAAGAGTGGAGTGCCAAGATCGGGCCCCGGCTGTCTGACCCAACTGCTCAGCTCTTGAACCAATTGCCATAGCTCCTTGGAGGGTGTGCCCCTTGAACCACCTCCCGTCGGTCTTTCTGAAGGCAGTGGGGACATGGAAGTAAGAAGAAGGTGGAGGCTGAAACGGATAAACCAACGAGGTAGGGGTGGACAGGACGACAGGGCCCTTGGCAGGCGGTGACACCCCACATAGGATTTCCTGCAGGGCCTGCCATGGGCTGTGCCCTGAGCTGTCTCTGAGGGTGACCTAAATTGGCTCTTCTGCTGGCTTTGTGTTTTGCGTCAAGCCAGTGCCTCCTGCCTGAGCGCCGACGTGAGGGTGGGCAGGCTCCACTGGCAGGGTGGGCAGGGCCTGCGCCGGGGCCAGGGCCCGATGCTCTTTGATGGATGGGAGGGTAGGGGAGTGGAAACTCTGAGAGAAGCAGCTGCGTCTCCCGGGGAGCAGGAGGGCGGACGTGGAAGGGAGGGCGGAGGAGGGGCTTTCCTCGGCCCCCGTCCCTGGGGCGACGTGCCTGCATGTCTGGGGCATGAGCTGACCTCCTGATTTTGTGCCCAGCTGCATCCTATGGCTGGCCCAGTGTGGGGACGGCGCCTGCAGCCAGTGGGCAGCCGGCCCAGGCTCCAGTGTGCTCCCTGGTGCCTTTGCAGGCTGGCTGCTGCCTGGGGCCTCGGGCTGTGCTCTGCCCACATCAGGGAGGGAAGACCCGGCCCCCCTCCCCATGGTCACGTGAGGGTCTAGGATTTCCTCCAGTTTCCTCCCACAGGGGAGGAAACAGAGGTGCAGCGAGAGCTACAGCCGGGGCACCGTCTGCCCCGTGCTGACTCCCAGCCCCCAGCCGCTGCGGGGCCTGCAGTGTCCCGTGCGGGGCTCGGCCCACAGCAGGGGCCCTGCACTTCTTTGCTGAGTGAATGAACGAAGATGAAACTGGAATAGAAGCACCTCGGGACCCTTAAATAGCAGATGCTCTAAACAATGTTCAGGTGCCCTCTGAGGAGGTGCCATGACTGTCCCCACATCACAGCTGAAGACCCCGTGGCTTAGAGTGGAGTCCAGCTCAGGACTGCCTTATTCTGTGTCCTGGGCA